AATAATGAACATGATTGTAAAAAAATAATCCCAAAAAATCTTAAAAACATAGATGTTGTCAGTACAGTAGAACCAAATACTGACCTTCTAAGTGGGATCTCGGAGGACAATTCTGTTAACAAGAGAAACAAATCTGTTTATTTGAAACACGTTGTGGAAAAACAGAGGATTTGTGACAGTAACTTCTCCTGACAGGCGTATTAGGCTGCAGAAAGAGCATCGGGCCCGAGGCTACGGGCATATGGTGCTGCCTTCTGCTGGCATCGCTCTAGAACAAGTTGCAACACTGTGGCAGGGTCACGACGGGCTCAGGTTTGTTCGTCCTGCCCTCTCTAAATAATAACAGGGCAAATTAATGCTCCCTTTGTCTTTGACAAGGGCAAAGTTAATATTTTTAGTTTGACTCTTTGGCCCGAATTGTTGTTTTCTTGGTTTTGCTTCATGTTGTTGTTGTTGAGTTACTGAGCTGACGATATGAGTTAGTGTTTGACCTTCATGTTTCTCTATTGTTTTAAAGGAATGCCTGATTGCTGTGCTTGACATTTTGATTTGTGTAGCAAAGTATCTTTTATGCTTACAAAAGTACTCTGGTATTGCCATATTTTTTGGATGTGATGATAACACAGTAATACAATGTTGTTGTTTTTTGGACCAGTAATATTGTTATTGTGGACATGTACTATGGTATTGTTCAAAATTACTGTGAGTGGCATGTAAAACCATGGTTTTTGTAAGGTTTAGTGCAGAAAATTCACATTTTATCATTGATATTGATGTTATTTTATTAGTGATCTTACACATTTAGACTGTATATTAGGGCTGCACGATTAATCGAATGCGATTGTCATGCGCATTTTGATAGTAATGCCGGTTCTGTAATCAGCAGGAAATCATCATCACTAGGGGTGCACGATAAATCGCATGCAATATTTAACCGGCTTTTCTGACAAGATGCGCGTTAAATATCGCATGCGATTTATTGTGCAGCCTTAATCATCACATGCTTTCAGATGGCGCAGCATTTACTACACAGAGCCGTAGTTCACTGAGAAGCTATGCAAACAGCTGTCATTATCGCGAACGATTTCTTCTATTTCATAATCGCGCAATAAAATCGTCTGCGATTTTTTTCCGTAACTTGTCAGTGAACTACGGCTCTGTGTAGTAAATGCTGCTCCATCTGAAAGCACGTGATGATGATTTACTGCTGATTACAGAACCGCTTTACTAACAAAATGCGCATGACAATCGCATTCGATTAATCATGCAGCCCTA